CTTTTCCCCTGCAAACCATGAATACTTCCCCAGGAATAAGGAAAATTGTTTCAATTGTCCGGGTAGCTGTTCCAAGTACTGTGGTTTCAGTTTTTCATGGTCAGAGTTGTAGCAAACCCGCACCAGTTGCATGCGGAAATCCATTATTTGATTTTCCATTATATCCACCCTAATCTTTTCCTCCTCAGTCTCACCACACATGTTGTGCTTGCGGGCGATGTAGCGCAAGATGGCGTTGCTCTGGGTGAGTTTGTTCTTGCCATCCATCAGGTAAGGAAGATTAGGAAAGTCCAGGTTTAGCTTGAATTTCACATCCAGCCATTGGCTTCGATCATAGTCAGGAGCTTCCCCGCAGATGTACCGTTTCTCCTCGTAGGCTGTATCAGTGAACTCCAGGAGCAGGCGGATGGCGTGCGCCAGCCCGCGAATATCCCAGTAACCCAGAACCATAGACGACTTGGAAGACATGATGAGACCGCTCGCTGGTCTTCCAGGCCTGGAGGTTCAGGAATATTAAATTTTAAACTGTAAAACAGAAATACAATATACCAAAGTCATAAGATTTAGCTAATTCATCAGCTATAAAATGACTAGGTTTAAATACTTATATGGAAGTTTATAGTGAAATCATTGGTGTTTTTTCCTTAAAATGCTAAAAAAAGGTAAGCTAATAAAATACAAATCAAATGGAAGTTCACATAAGAGTATTGTTCAATGATATAAGTAATAAACAAAAAAATTAACAAATTCAGCAGTTTGTTTTTTGAACAGAAATAATCATTTAATTAACTCCTAATAACTCTTACCAAAAAATAAGCAGAAAATAAAAACTACCAATACCCTGGATAAAATAATACTTTTTTAAAAAAGAGAATACAAAATATTATAAAAGGAACAATACAGAATTTCACTAATATTGTAATAGTAATTTGACAATGGTTGTCATATTGCATAAAGCTGTCCTCAAGTTAGTTGCTTAGATTACCAGCTATAAGCATGCAAAATTGGTATAAAAAAGTTATGAGAAATTAGAAAGGTGAAGAAACAAAAATTTAAGTATTAACTGCTTTTTCAGTAAACCAGCAGAAATCAGCAGTATAGTTACCCAAGCTATCCTGTGTATATACATGAATCTATCTTTTCCCCTTCTTTCTTTCTTGCTTTCTTTCATCATTTTTCTCATCCCACTTTTTGCTTTCCTTTGAATTGATTCTTCTCTGTCCACATTATCTGTTGTACCTTTCAGGTGTTATTTAGTGTTTCAGGATCCTAGTAGTGAGACAATACAATGTTTGCACATGTGAATCTGATTTATTTAACTTATGACTATTTTCACTAGTTGCATCTATTTACTGATAAAAGCCTCAAACAACTTTTTTTATGGCTAAATGATACTGTATTGTGTAAAAATACCACACCTTTTTAATTAGTTCCTCAGTTAATGACCATTCATTTGGGTTATTTCCAAGATTTAGCTATGACAAATTGTGCAGCTATAAACATGAGTGCACATAAAGCATTGTGATACAATGTTTTGGATTCATCACCCCAGAAGGGAAATCTGGATATTAAATTGAACCTCAAATCCTAGATGTCTCAGAAATATACACACTGATTTCCATAGTGTTTATACCAGTCTGCCCTCCCCTCAAAAATGGAGAAGAGTTCCTTTCCCCCTCCAGCCCTTCCAATATTTACTATTGGTTAACCTCTTGATGGTAGCCATTCTTTCTGGGGTGAGATGAGATCCAAATGTTGTTTTAATTTGCATTTTTCAAATGACCAGTGATGTTGAACAGTTTTTCATATATTTATTTGCAATTTGTTTTTATTCATCTCAGAAGTATATATTCATCAAAGATGCCCAATTTTGGATTAAGTATCGGAATTTTGGGGGCCTCATATTTTTAAATATTTTTAATTATTTATGTGTTCCAAATAGAAGGCCTCTGTCAGAAAGATTGGCACCTATACATTTTCCCCCGATTCATGGATTTTCTTTGTATTTGGTTGGGGATTTCTCTTGATGTGCAGAAACTTCTCAAAAAGATAAAAACACAGTTGTTGATACTTTGAAGTGTTTCCTGTGCAGTTTGGTTTTTTTTTCATGACCTCTCTATCTGCCGCTATGTATTCCACAAGAAGATTTAGTGTTTCTGTGTCAATATTTAAATCTTTGATCTATTTGACTATAGTTTAGTGCATGGTTATAGATATGGGTCTAAATTTAGCCTTCAGCATGTGCAAAGCCAATTTCTTCAGCACCATTTCTTAATGAGACTATCTTTCTTTATTGAATGTGTTTGCCCCTTTCTCAAAGATAAGGTGGATGAGTGTCTTTGTAGCTGTTTCTTCATCTTCTATTCTGCTTCATTGATCTGCGGGTCTGTTTTTCACCATTACCATGCAGATTTTATCACAGTATCTTTGTAGTATAATTACAAGTCAGGAATGGTGATGCTGTCTGCTTTGTATTTGTTGCTCAGTACGGACTTTGCTATTCTAAGCCTCTTCTGGTTCCAGATGAATTTTAG